AGTCAAAGTTTTTTCCTTCAATTTTATCTTCATTACTGCATATAATTGAGAAAATAAACAATTTTTTGAATAAAAAAACTAACTAAATCACCGGACTATGTATGAAAACTGCTGATAATTATATGTATACAATATAATGTATTATGAAACTTGTGTATTAATAATGAAAATATAAAGCTGAAAATTTTCAAACAATGCACATTGAAGAAAAAAATAAAAACAATTTAATACATAGGTACATGTTATTATTAAGAGAACTTCAGAATTTAATTTAAATTTTATTATACATTAAATTTTAGGGATTACAAAGTACAATGCAGATTCGATGCAATCAATGAATTGTTCGCGCATTCTACAATGCAAATTAATTTACTTTAAAACAATACAAAATATTTTGATGAAAATTTAAAAAAAAGTAAAATGCATATAAAAAGGTGATATTATATAATATAAAGGTAAAAAAAAGTGGAACAAAATGTAATATAAAAATGATAAGTGTATGTCCATGTGTATGCATATAACCAGACTTTTCTACGATTTCTGCGGGTACTCGCACTACACGCTATCGTCGATAAATAAATAACAGGTTCATTATTCATGGACCTCACGGGGGAATGAGCTTGTAAACTAAAGCGAGGTAGGGTATCACATTTAAATTTTTAAAAAACGTCGACCGTATTTTATAGCTTTAAAAGCTGCGATTCTTCCGACATTTTAAATTTTCTATTTACATCTGGTATATACAAGCGCGCATTTTACATGTTACGCATTATACACACACAGGGCAGCTATTCTCAAAAATTTGTAAAAAAATTTATAATCAAAGCCCCCAAGAACTCTTAGATACATATCCACTTTGAATTCTGAAAATCTGATTACAGGTTTGTAATCAACTACAAAAAAAAAACACTAGGGAAAATGGCCCCAAGATGGACATGGTTCGATTTAATGCTCTAGAATGTTGGGCCACCATATTGAATTCGACATTTTGAATTTTCGAAAATTGATTATAGATTCGTAATCAGCTCCCCCAATAACCCCTTGATAGCAAATATCTTTAGATTTCACTAGAACCAAAAATAAATGCCGCAAGGGATTAACTTTTTTAAGTTACATAAACATAAACATAAACATATATTTATTTCTTATAGGAAATACAATTTTTTATGTAAAATCTTCCTTTTATTAATTTCATTAATTTTCTACAGTATCCCAACTCTGACTATCTGGTTCAACCTTGACTACTTTTTTTTAATTGCCTATAACTCCGAAACATTTGGTCAACATTTTTTGCAATATTCAACAAAAATATTGCATTTTAGTAGATCTTTCTAATATTAATACGAGAAATCGCGAAATTCGACAGGGAAAGTTATAGAAAAAAGTCAAAACCTATATATGTCCAACCATCACTACTCCTCCCTACTATAAGCATACAGAATACTATATTTAAATAAAGTAAATAATATAAATAATTAAATTTTTTCGTTCAATTTAAATATTAATAAAAATGATAAATTATCGCATAAATAATAAAGATTATAATATATAAAACAAAATTGCTTATTGTTTATATTATTATTGTTATATTTAAAGAAAATAAAAATAATAATACATACTTTATTATTATTATTAGTAACAATAAGAATAATTTATAATTATTTTTTAATTATATACAAAATGAATGATTTTGTATTCTAAAAAATTGGGAATAATTCTTTTTTAATTATTAATAATAAATAAATAATTATTATTAAAAAAATATCAAACATATTCAACTAATTTATATATACTCTAAATTTGAATCAGTAAAAACGTAAAAAAAAATTATGTATTATTTCATTCTGTCCACACCTGAAGTTAGTTTTTGTGTATTCTTTTGTTTTTTTTTTCTTTAAAAAAAATTTGTTTTGACAAATCGAAAATATGCAGGTACTTTTTCATAATTCATATATACCATTATAATAATCGTAAGATTCACTTCACAAAATTGAAAAAAATTCCATTCCATATTTTTTATTTTTCTGACTTTTTCCTAATTTTCATCAAAAATATTTACTTTTTTCTCATCCTTTCAATAAATTGAATTCCTGCAACGAATTTTATTATTCATCAAAGAATTTTAATATTTATAGAAATTGAATTGAATTATTACGAAAATTTTTACAAACCATTTTTTAAATAATTGAATTCTGTTTAGAAATTTTATGATAATAGTAGATATTGAAAATCATTGAATTGCGAAAAGTTTTTAATGATAATTAAATTTTACAAAGAATTCTTTATTAAAAAATTTGTCAATAATTGAATGTCTGGGAAATTTTATTAAAAACTTTTTTGAAAATAATTGAATTCTTGTGAACGATTTATTAGAATTTTTTTAAAATAATGTAATTCCAAGAAGAAAATTATTATTTTTAAAAATAATTGAATTATTGTGATGAATATTCTTATTTATGAAAATAATTGAATTCTGAAAAGAATTTTATTAAAATACCTCAAAATAATTGAATTTTCGGGAGTAATGTTCTTATTTATCGAGATAATTGAATTCTTAGAAAAAATATTGTTAAAATTTTTAAAAATAATTGAATTATTTAATTAAAATTGTATTTAAAACAATTAATTTCTTCCGAACAATTTTATTAAATTTTTGAAAATAATTATTCAATCCTTCCAAAAAATATTAAAAAAAACATTTTTTTAAATAATTGATTTTTTTGTGGAATTGAAATTAAGTTTTTAAAAATAATTACTGTAAAATTGTATTAAAAATAATTGAAATCCTGCTATGAATTTTATTATTTATGAAAATAAATAAATAATTGAATAGTTGCTAAGAATTTTATTATAATTCTCAAAAATAATTGAATTACATAAGAAGAATTTTATTATTTTTGAAAATAATTTAATTATTGCGGAAAAGTTTATTAAAATGTTTAGGTAAAAAGAATTTAATTTCTGTAAAAAAAAATTTATTATTTTTTAAAGTAATTGAATTCTTCATAAGAATTTTATGAACATTATTTTAAATAATTAATTTTTTCGAAATATAATAAATATTACGAAAATTTTATTAGTTTAAATAATTGAATTCCAGTGGAAAACTTTATTTGTGAAAATTACTGAATTTTTCGATTATTAATTTAAAGTAGTATTAAAAATAATTGAAATCATTCGATAAGTCTTATTATATTTATGAAAATATTTAAATTCATGTTTAGAATTTAATCAAAAAGTTTTTTAAAAATTGAATTTTCATGAAAAATTTTATTATTAGTGTAAATTAATTATTTAATTATTACTTAAATTAATTAACTAATTATTACTTAAATTAAAATTACTTGAAATTGTTTACAATAAACAGTGCAATACAATATTCCCGCGCGCTTGCGCGCGGATAATTTGGCTAGTAATAAAATAATATTAGAAATTAGAAAATTTTAAAAAAAATGGTGATTAACAAATGAAAAATTTACCCATTTTGTTTATTAAATGCTTTTTTTATAACAAATTTCGTTTGACTGATCTAAATTATGCAAATTTTTCTCTTCTTTATTCATAAAAAAATAGAACATTTTAAATAAAAAAATAATTAAAATAATAAAAAATAATTAAAAATAATTAAAAAAATAATTAAAAAATAATAAAATTATAATTATTATAATTATTTATAATTTTATTAAAAATAATTATAATTTAATATTAATTCTTAATCAGCATATAATTTCCTACATTAAATAGAAAATTTGTTAAAAAATTATGATTAAGAAATAGTAAATAAATACCCATTTTATGCATAATTTTTATTTCTCAATAACAATATTGTTAACAAACTCATTCTTTTATTTTGGATTAATTAACATTATTTCCAATTTTTTAATTACAATTGTTTTAATAAAATTCAAAGTTCTTTTTAAAAATAAACGAAACAAATATTTATAAATTCTATTTGTCAATTACAAATTTTCATTGAAAATGAAAATTTTTGAATTTTTAGAAAATAAAGGAAAAAATTTTACTGAAAAAAAAATGTTCCGTTACATTTTTATAAGAATTTCTTTAATTGTAAAATTATTCAAAAACATCAATAATTTCTTTTTTAAATAAATATTTAATTATTATTATTTTTCCACAAGAATTAAGACATTTAAAAATTCTAAATTCAAACCTTTTTGAAATTAAACAACTTATAAAAGTATTTTGCTATAAAACTATGAAGTTATTGATTGGTCCTAGTCGAAGACTCAAAGTGATCGATTTCTTTATATTTTGTAATAATTTATAATAATTAAAAATTTATGAAAATAATTGAATTATTGCGAAGAAATTTATAAAAAATTGTAAATAATTAAATTCCTGTGGAATTTTTAATATTTTTGACAATAATTAAATGTTTGTGTACGATTTTATTAATTTTTTTTAAATAATTGAATTTTTCGCGGAAAATTTTATTAAAATAGTAGATATATTGAAAATAATTGAAATTAGGACAAGAATTTTATTGTCATTTTTTAAAATAATTGAAATTTGGGGAAAAATTTTGTTATTTACAAAAATAATTGGGATTTTGACGATAATTTTTTTTTAATTTTAAACATAATTGAATTTTATGAGAAGAATTTTATTACTTTTGAAAATAATTGAATTTCTGCAATAAATTATTTGCAATTTCTCCGCAAAATTGAATTATATTAGTGTTTTCAACAAAAATTTGAATTTAAAATTTTTAAATTCTATTATTTTTAAAATTGATAATTTTATATAAAAAAGTAAGTAAAAAGTTAGCCGCGCGAATTGTTGCTAGTTAAATAAATAATTTAATACCTGATTTAAATTTTAATTTACATTCCAGTTTTATTAAAATACAAGCGTGTGTGTCAGGTTGCCATTCAGTTGGTGTTATCACGAGGACGCTTTCTACATTATCGTTTAGCGTTCAGTGGTTAATAAAGTAGAAATCACCACCAAACAGCGCTTCTAGTGGATATTTCTCGAACTATTAAATATCAATCTTCTAAATTTTTCCTCTCTATGCTGGAAATTATACTCCTGGGTCAAGTGCAACAACTGGCAAAATGAAGATGGCGGAAGGATCCACAATTTCAAGAAGGAATAGGCCCGGAACGAAGGCAAAAGTTAGTAAAAAATTCATCTAATTAAACTGAAAATTTCCACACGTACTTTAAAAACTTTAAATAATTAATGACAATCATAAAACTTACAATATCAATAACTATTTTCTTAATATTTCATTAGTGCAATCAAGTTCCCTGTCACCATACAGTTCCATGAAAATCAATGAACGCCTTGTAAAAGTATTTCATCTCAACATTTATTACAAAATTAATCCCTCATCTAATCTTAAAAATTAAGAAAACTTTATTTACGTACTATTTTTTCAAAAATATTAATATCAATTTTGTTTTCAAACCTAATTGACATTTGTGAATAACAACAAATTTTTTGACAGTTTGAAGATAAAAGCGGCTTTCTTAATCTATATTTTATTAGTCAAAAAAAGAAGTCTTCTAAAAAAGTGTTTTCTTTCATTTTATTCTTGTAAAAAGTTATAGTACTTCAAACAATTTATATGAATCACAAGGAAATAAAATGTTGAAAATTAGTTATGATTATGAGTATTAGTGTTAAAAAAATTTCTCCTTGAAATCTCAACTAGTCGCGTAAATAGATTTATTGAAAATCAATTTCTATTTCCGTTTAGACATTGTTTACTATGTTGGTTTCTTAATTTCTAGTTTATTTTTATTTGGTTTCGTACTCTCATGTTAATAATGTTTGAAGTAGATTTTTCTTGAGACAAAAAAATATTTAGAAAAATTAAAAAGTTTAATTACAATTATTAAAAGTTTTAGAATTAAACTCTACGAAAAAATCTATTTGAAGAAGTATTTTTTAAAACTGAAATTAATTTAAAGTACTGAATAATTCAATAAACTGAATTTTCATTTACAATATTATTTTATTTTATATAATTATTATTGTTATTAGGTATTAAAATTTAAGGGGCAAAAATAAATTATTTATAATTTGATAAAATTTAATTAATTTAAAATAGTTCATTTTTAATACTGAATAATTAAATTAAACTATACTTTTTATGTATTTTATAAGATATTAAAATAAAATAAAATTTGAGAACTAATTGAATGAAATGATTTTTTTGTTTTTTCTCTTAATTAAATTTAATTTACATTTCTAAAATAAATGAAATTTTTTTATTGCAGGATTTTTGCAGATGGCCCGACGAGCCTTTCGAAGAAATGGACAGCACGTTAGCTGTTCAACAATATATCCAACAAATGATAAGAAAAGATCCTTCAAGTATCGATTTAATTCTTAACATGCCGGATGCTCAGGACGAGGGTGTTTGGAAATACGAACATCTCAGACAATTTTGTATGGAATTAAATGGATTGGCAGTTAGATTACAGGAGGACTGTAATCCAAATGCTTGCACACAAATGACGGCTACCGAGCAATGGATATTTCTCTGTGCAGCTCATAAAACACCTAAAGAATGTCCTGCCATCGACTATACACGACATACATTGGACGGAGCAGCGTGTTTATTAAACAGCAATAAATATTTCCCAAGCAGGTTAAAATTATATTTAACTATTTAAAGTACAGGACTCGAACCAGTGAAAGTATTTAAAAATACGGACTTTACGGACCAAAAATTAAAAATTACGGATTACTGTAACTTCTTCAAAAATTGTTTTCATCATTTCGATTATTCATTACTAGAATTTTCAACTCAAATTCTTCTTTAAATCAATTTTTTTTTAAAATAATTTTTGAAAAAGTTCTTTGAGAATTTTCAAATCCTTTTGTTTACAATTTAATTTTACGAAATTTCGATTATTCTGACATTCTTCAATTAAATATATATATATATATATATTAGAAATTAAAACTTCAAATAATTAAAAAAAATTTTCATTAAACTTTTTAAAAAAAATTAATTCCACAGAATTCTTAATTAAAAGTATAAAAAGTTCAAATTTTCAAAGATTTTAATTTAAAACTTTTTGAAAATCCAATTATTTCTAAAAATCCACGCTTTCAATATCCAAGTATAATAAATATTTTATTATATTGAATGTTTCTTAAAATTGAATTTTCATAAAGAATTTTATTAACAAATTTTTAAATACTTGAATTCTCTTGACAAATTTTAATTGAAAATAATTAAATTTCGGAGAAAAATTTTATTAAATTTATAAAGATAATTGAAATTTTAAATAAAACGAGAATTTTTGTAAATTTTTGAACATACTTGAATTTCTTCAACGAATTATATTATTTTTGAAAATAATTGAATTCCTGAGACGAATTTTATTAAAATTTCTTTTTAAATAATTGAATTCTTTTAGGATAGTTTATTGTAATAGTAGACATTGAAAATAATTGAATTTCGACAAATTTTTGAAATTAATTAAATTTCTATGCAGAATTTTATTTTAAATTATTTTGAAAAGAATTGAATTGTTACAAAGAATTTCATTAAAATTTTTGAAGAAATTTAATTAAAACTATTAAAAATAGTACTTAAATTCTAAAAAATAAATTGTAGCAAAGGTTTTGAAAATAATTGAATTTCTTTGATTTTTAATATAATTTTTAAGAATAATTACATTTATCGAGGAATTCCATTAAAATTGTATTAAAAATAATTGAATTCTTTTGGGGTTTTTTTTATTAAAGTAGTGTAGATATTACAAATCATTGAATTGAGGAAAATTTTTGAAAATAATTAAAATTTTGACAAGAATTTTATTAAAATTTTAGAACATAATTGAATTTTTGAGAACAATTTTACTACTTTTGAAAATAATTGAATTTCTGCAATCATTTGTAATTGCTTCAAAATTCAATTTGTTTTAGTGTTTTTAACTAAAATTCTTCTATAAATCCATTATTCTTAGTAATTTTGAAAAAGTTCTTTGAGAATTTTTAAATTCATTTGTTTACAATTCAAATTTACAAAATTTTATTTATTTGGAAATTCTTCAATTAAAATGTAGAAGAATTGTTAGTTAAAAGTATGAAGAATTTAAATTTTCAAAGATTTTAATTTGAAAACTTTTTAAAATTCAATTATTTCTAAAAATTCACGCTAATAATGCTTTTAATATTCAATTATGATTTAAAATTTTAATTGAAATTTATTTTGAAATCATTTTTTATTAGATAATAATTTTACGAGAATAATTGAATTCCAAAAAAGAATTTTATTATTTACGAAAGTAATTAAATTCCTGTAAAAACATTATTTATGAAAATAATTTAATTCTTTTGGAAAATTTTATTAAAATAGTAGATATTGAAAATCATTGAATTGAGGAGAATTTTTGAAAATAATTGAAATTTTTCCAAGAATCTTGTTAAAAATTTGTAAAATAATTTAATTTCAGAGAACTATTTTATTATTTATAAAGATAATTGAAATTTTGACGAGAATTTTTAAAAATAATTGAATTTCTCCAATCATTTGTAATTTTTCTAAAATTCAATCAAATTTCGGACTTTACGGACCTTTCTTAAAAAAACTGACTTTTACGGACTTGAAGTGCAAATTTACGGACCTAGTTCAAGCCCTGAAAGTACCTAAAATTTTAACTACTTTTTTTTAATGTACAAATAAAATTTCTTTCTATTCCAGAGTAAGCATTAAGGAATCTTCAGTCGCTAAACTTGGATCCGTTTGCCGTAGAGTGTACAGAATTTTCTCACACGCTTATTTCCATCATCGAACAATATTTGATGAATTTGAAAATGAAACCTTTCTTTGTCGAAGGTATAACTAATGAAAATAATAAATTACTATCATTCTTTTCAGGAGAATTCATTATAGTTCGTGGACAATTGGGGACAGAACTTGCTTTTAAAAAAAGTCTAAATTTCTATGAATTAAAATTTTATTTATTCCTAATTTTTATTGATTACAAGTTGTCAGTTCTATCAAATTTTAAACTTTTTCATCTTCAATTAGGGAGAAAAAAAATTAATATTTTTTTTACCACTTTAAAATAGTAAAGAGAAAGAAATGATAAATCGTTTGACAATTCGTATTCTGCAATAATTGTTTCTTTATTTTTAGATTCACGGCTTTTGTAACGAAATACAACCTCATGTCGAAAGACAATTTAATAGTTCCAATAATGGAAGAGGAAGGACCGACCGAAAGTGAGGCATAAAGAAAAGAATGTTATTTAAAATTGGTCTTAAGAGTCCAAAGAAGCTGACAAATTTCATTGATTCGTTGAAAAAACTGAATTATTTATCCACTCGATTGCCAATTTAACTGTTTACTGTAACGAGTGAGAGCTTTTCGGGGATAAAATGTCAGTGAGTAAAGCAACAGTCAACTAAAATACTTTAATTACAAAAAAAAAAGAGAACACTGTCTAATTTCAATGAATTTAATTAGACAGAAACGTGGAACAAAGTGTTGATTTGCACTTGTATGATTCACAGTGAATATCTTCGCTAATCATAAAAAAATTGAGTTCTTAAACCCAAGTTCTCAAACTTGTATGTATATCTAACTGTATATCTACATTTATTAAATTATGTACATTTTGTAGGATTATAATTGCGAAAAGAAAACTGTCTTGTATATTTAGGGAAAGAAAACAAAAAAAAATCAGTGGACGATGTCCCTTTTTATTAGTTATGTAATTATTCGAGACAAGTTTTTTTTTGACATGATTTTCCAGTAAAAAAATCATGTATAAAAAAAAGATTATAGAAGCAGCTATTAATAATGAAATAGGAGGAAAAACAGCTGCTGAAAATTGTGAACATTTCAGTAAAATGATGAACGAGATTAATTGTCGGTACCTGAAATGCACTTACTAAAATAGGCATCGATCTTTTTACGTTTTATACAATGTAACAGACTGACACCAGCGTTACGCGAAACAAAAAAACATTTCTTTTCCTTCGTCTCTTGTGTAAAACAAAAAAAAATAGATACTTCCTTTCACATTTTATATAAGTACATTATTAATAATTAAAATAAAGAAAAGAGAAATTATTAAACACCATCAAAAGAAGATGAATGTAGTTTAAGTTTTGTTTTTTTAATCTAATCAATAATCAAATATTACATTCAAGAAAACGAATTCTCTTTTTGAAAAATCCCTTTTTCATTCAACAAACTTTGAGACAATGATCTAGTTTTCATTTTTCAGAATCGGCAGCTCATTTTCTTACTTGAATTTTCTTTTATAAAAAGAACATTTTATTATAATATTCATAAACGTACCCAAGAAGTGTAAAATTAAGATTTTTTTTATTTTAATCTCTAATTTAGTATTAAATACTCTTTTTTTTTGTGAAGTTAGTCAATTTTTTGTATCAAGAATTTTTATATAATTTAATATTGAAAAATAAATTTGGATCAAATTGAAAAAGTAAGAGAACATTTTCTGAATAATTTCTTCATGAATAAAACTACAATATTGCAAATTATTGTAGGTCGTACAAGTAATCGATCATTCTTAAAAATTGAATGTCGTTATTTGTTATAAATAATTATGATGCATCTTTACAGTGATACTATAAATATGTAATTTAGAATTTCAGAAAGCTAGAATCCTTGCTTCCTGTTTGACAAAATTTTATAAATTTGTGACGCGCTCCTGAAACCTAAGAAGCAAACGAATTATAGGTTATGATCGTGATAGATTTAACTTGATTAAAAATCCATTTTTAATTATTTAAATTTTGAAAACAGTTTTTATTGAATATTTTGGATGTAATGAAAACTTGAACAATAAATTGTAATAGGAATTTATTTTCTTTCTGATATTTTTACTCCAAGAATAATAAATATAAACTAAAATTCTTTTGCTTCTTAGGTACCTTTTTTTGGAGCGCGTCACATATATATATATATGAAATAAATAATAATGTTAAATATAACTACGTAGTGAGAGTTCACAGAAACTTTTCGGAGTTGAAATTAAAATTGAAAAAATAAAAATTGTAGAAAATAGACTTTAATATGAAAAATTATCTAGTATTACAAAAAAAGTAGACGAATTTTTGTACGGCAACAAAATAAAAAATCAGAATTTAGACCCAGACTCTTTAAGCAATTCTGTTTTATTTTAATATTTTTAATATAATAAATAATAAATACCGATTAGTGAAAATGTAATTTTCGAAATTTAGTTTAATTATTTAATTATCTAAATAATTAAGCTAAATTTCGAAAATATTACATTTCCACTAATCAGTATTAATTTCCAAACTGATTTGTCACAACGAAAATTTTATTAAAAATATAATTTTTTCATTACAATTTGTCTTTTTAAATTTATTACATTTGTTGATTTGAAACAGTTAAATAATATAATTATCTTGTGACTATAAACTATAATAATTTCTGAATTCTCATAACGTTCTAAAGATTTTTACCTGCTTAAGGGAAGAATGCGAGGAAATTTTCATCTAGATGAAGTAATTAGTTTGAAAAATGATTTTTATAGTAATTTTTGCAAGGGATTCAATAGTAATAAAAAATTCTATCAAACAATAATTTTTTGTGACCACTTTCTAAATTCTATTTTTTCTTAACAATGAAAAATTTCAAATCCGTAGTTTCTTAGAAAACATATTTTTATATTCATAACAATTTTTACAGCTCAAAATTTTTAATTCTACTATTTTTAAAGTATTTCAAAAAGAATTTTAGTTAAAAACACTGAAACAAATTGAATTTTGAAGAAATTACAAATTATTGCAGAAAATCAATTATTTTCAAAAATAATAAAATTCTTGACATAATTTTAATTATTTTCAAAAATTTTCCTCAATTCAATGATTTTTAATATCTACTACTTTAATAAAAAAAATCTCAAAAGAATTCAATTATTTAAAAAGAAATTTTAATAAAATTCGTCTCAAGAATTCAATTATTTTCAAAAATAATATAATTCTTCGCAAAAATTCAATTAATATGTTCAAAAATTCTCGTCAAAATTTCAATTATCTTTATAAATAATAAAATTTTTCTCCAAAATTCAATTATTTTCAAACATTTTAATAAAATTCTTGGCAAAATTACAATTATTTTTAATACAATTTTCATCAAATTTCTCAAAGAATGGAATTATTTTTAAAAATACCTGAAAATTGCATCGCAGTCTCCTCTTAAATTATTCTAAACTGAAATTTTCAAAATTCAAAATGGCGAATCCAATATGAAGATCAATTTTATTCAAAATTGATCCGATTCGTTTGAAACTTATTATTCCAGGACTTACGTCATTTTGAATTCAGAATTTTACCTGAATTTTTATTGATGCATTCGAGCAAGAAATAGCTCGAAAATAAACAAAAATCTTCTATAGTAAAAATATACTTGAAAACAAATGAATTCACAATTTATCTCTTTTGTTTTATGAAAGGAAAATTTCTCGAATGCATCAAAACTACAAACAAAAAAAGTTATTAGAAACAAGAAGATTCTCAAAATATAATTCACACAAACAGTAAAACAAAAATTAGCCAATTTTAACAGAAACAATCATCTATATAAAGAGAAAATAAATTTTTCATATATAACGGATTACAATGCGAACAAAAAAAATAAAAAAGAATTCGAAAACTTATTAAATTAAATGGAAGCACTGTGGATTTGTTTTTTGCTTTTAATAAATGAAATTATTGATCAAGAGTGCCTATTGTTCAACTGGTCGCGTATTATCGAGGTCTGTCACTATCGATTATCAGCTTTCTTCCCTTTTATTTTTCTTTAATATCGCTTCCGTGTACTGCTCTTTTCTCGACCTCTTTTGTCTAAATTTGAACTCCATTTCTTCACATTCTTCAGCTGCCAAGCTCATGGACTTTCCACTGTCACTTCTTTCACGTTTATTCTCTGTTTTTGTTAATTCCTCCTTTTTCTTAGTCTTTGAATTCCAAATTAATTTCGTATCATCCTGACTGCAATAATCAATAAAAAAAAAGAAAATTAACAAATTTATTTAATACAATTTCAAATATTTTTAATCGTTTAAAAATATTTTCAAATCATTTTTTTCTCCTGTTATTGATTGGTACTTTTTTTGTCATTTTAATTCAGGAATTTTTATTTCCATTTGAAGAATTCAATTCAAAAATTTAATTATGGAATTATTAAATATAGGTGGGATATAAGACAACCGAGTTGTACAATGAGAATAACTTTTATTCTTCTCTTAAATGCATTTTTAATTCGAAAAACTTTATCAGAAGTGAATTTTTAATTTTCTTTGAAACTAAAACGGTGAAAGAAAAAACTTAAATATGATTAACATTAAAGACGATAGTTTAATTTAATAATTAACGAATTGAAATTGAGTTTCGTTTAATCTTACAACAAAATTGACACACACTTACCTAGTAATAGTGTTATTAATTGGTCCCTTAGTTAACAAGATATTAATTTGAGCTACGTATCGAACTTTCACATTTCCATCCTTATCTTTTTCTTCTAAGGATTTTTGTGATCTAAAAAATTTGCAAAGAAAAACTTTTATATAGAAAAGAATGTGACCCTATTTTAAAACTAGCAGGAGATGCATTCCGTAAGAATCATTAGATCAAATTGTCAAAGAATTTAAATTCATGGCGAATTTTTATTTCATTGATTTTCTATTTAACATTTTAGTTAAATAAATTTGTATTCTATTTATTATATTCTATTTTTATTTGATAGAATTTTTATATAACGAAAATTTCATTTAACAGAGTTTTTACTTAGATGGATTTCTATTACATAAAGCAAATTTTACTTTAGATGACAAAATCGTGTTTATAAAAATTATTATTGATATGTAGGTAGAATTACAAAGAGTTGGAAAATAGCAAATTTAATTTATTATATAATAAATTTTTGTCAATTAGAAATTCCGTTAGATGAACAAAATTTAACATACTCTATAGATCCAAATTTTGTAACTTGATGTAAACCTGGATGTTTTCTTTTAAAAATTTCTGCACAAGATATTGCTTTTCCAACTCCTTCACCTGCAGCGGTCCAGAGAATTCCATCATTATTTGGAAATTCTTTCAATGCAAACTCCAAAACATTTCTCATTTTGGTACCAGATTTAATCTAAAAAAGAGAATTTTGAACATATTGAAGAACACTGCCGCCAATATTGGAATAAGGACATTAGGTTGTAAAGGTTGAAATGAATTCAATTAAATTCACAAAGAGCTTCAGTGAATCCTGTTTTGTGAAAAATACGAATTGGAGCCATGTTGCAATTTTTCTGAATTCGTCAAACTGTATTGAACTTCCGAACCGTCGTTCGTAACAATTCATTGGACAAGTTTTGGGGCCTTTAATTTTTTTCAATTCGTCAGCACTAATTTAATTGCATGTCTGGTTATTTCTTTCGAATGCGAATTCATTTTCACAAATTGGTGCAAATTGAATCAAATTCAATCAAATACAGAGCTTGAGTGAATCCCGCTTTCTAAAAAAATCATAATTTATTTCAATTCGTTTGAATTAGGGGCCGTCCATAAACCACGTAGCCCCATTTTTTGGGAATTTTGACCCCCCCTCCCCCATGTAGTACGCTATTACATGTATTAGCGCCATTTTTTCCTCTTGTCGTAGTCAATTGCTTGACCCCCCCTCCCCCTCAAGAGGCTACGTGGTTTATGGATGGCCCCTTACTTTTCATTTTGTAATGATAGGGTTTTTAATTTGCTGGGAATTCGCTCGCCGGATGGAGTCCGGGTTCCCTTAAATATTAATTAAATAAATGATTATCCATAGTTAATGGCGTGAAGCGCCATCTATTGAGCTTAAATTGATTTCTGTGATTCTGAGTAAAGGTGTAGTCAATAACGAGGCGAGAATTAAACCTTCGAAAGAAAAGTATATTATAATAAAATAATATTATACAAAAAATAATAAATAATTAGAAATTAAAATTAACAATAATAAAGTAGAAAATAATAATAACAATATATTTTCGAGATGCGAGTAAATTAACATTTACTAATCAAATAATTATTAACAATAAATAACTGAGAACGCGAGTAATAAAATATTAGATACTAGATAACAATATAGGTTTTCCTTTTGTCTGAAACTATCGCATTCACTGCAAAAAATGGCGTTTAAAAGTAAGACGTTTAGACGTTTATAAACGTCTTATGTAAATAAGCTTCTTAAATGAAAAACATAACCTCCAAATACATGCATTTTAGAAGGCAAATAAGACGCTTATAAACGTCTTCAATGTGACCACGTAAACGTCTTAAACCAAGACGTTTTTTTTTTACAGTGATACTATCGAGTTTATAATTCACGAAACTAGTCTAGAATTAGTCCCATAATCTATCGTGACTGACGCGTCCAAGACGTGCACTCTGAGGAATTGAATCTGCTCTTCGTTAAGGCAGAAACAAGATTTTAATATCGGAAACGCTGCCGATATTCTTGCCCGACGCGAAAGATTTGTGAATTAGGAACTCAACGGCCGATTTCTTGTCCAGAGTGTATATATATATTAAAAGCTATAAAATACGTATTACAAAGGGTAATATCAAGAGACTATTATAAACAAAACAACAATATCATGTGTTACTTAGCAATCTTAAATCAACAATTATATCATTCAAATAGATAATACTCACATTCATATGAATACATTTTTCCGGTAAACTGAGATCAGAATTCTCTTCAGATTCCTTCTTTGGTGATTCTAACAATATCGGCTTATTTTTCTTCCGTTTTGACTTCCCCATCTAAAATTGAAAAGAATAAAATTAAAAAAATCCTTTCAGATATACAACTTCCTTGAAAATCATGTTCCTTATTTTTTTCCGATTTATTTTAAAAGTACAAAAGAAAGGCAGGACCATAGAAAAAATTCTATATAAAAACTGTAAATGAATTTTTCTGTTTGACGTTTTTCGGACTAGGGTGCATTTTGTTAAAAGTTTATTACTAAATATTTTCTCAAATAAAATATAGAACGAAAAGAATGATTTTATTTTAGGGCTAGAGCAGTGGGTCACGAGTTCAGAACCCATTGCTTCCTTTGCGTTCCTTTCAGAAAACCATTCATGGAACTTTGAACGACCTTGTACAGTCGTACGCAGAAATATTTCTCTGGGTCACAATGCCTCCCTCGTGTCTCTTCCCCTTTTTGATGTAGTTAAATTCACTTTTAATTCTTTCCAACTCACATTTTACATATAAATTTTATAAGACCGACTTGAAATATTATTTCCCTTCACTTTCTTTGCTCTTCACCTATAAAATTTACTTTCAACATTCAACCGTCACAAATAATTTAAATTCCAGAAGAAATAAATGAAAAGTATAAAGTAAATTTCGAATGATGAAACAGAAAAATAAATTATAAAATAATTTATAAAAAATCTACATTTTTATGATATTTAAATTTTTAAGCATTAAAAATTTGTTCAAAGTTTAGGGGTTGAGTAATTTTTAGGCTAACTTGGACGTTTTCACAGTTCCTTAAGTTATGTAACCTATAATTAACAACATAACCTACAAAAACGGGTGAAGTTATTCTTAAAACAAGGGGCCAAATGAAATAGAAAAATTTAATAAAAATGCATTTATCAGAGAGGTCAAAAACAGATACGAAAAACCAATATGACACGATATATATGCAGTGCGAACTCTCTTTCTAACATACGTTCTATATATAAATTCCAGGACTCGGAGGGGGTGGAAAAAGGGATAAGGGGAATCCCATCAATATTTTCCAATCAGCATTCGATTGCACGATATAGTTCGCGAATAAGGGTCCAATGGTGTTGGCGTAGGCGTATATGGTGGTAGTATGCGGCATAGCCGGCATAGCGCCGCGACGCCTCGACGCCATATTGCATTATTAAGCACCCCACCTCCACCTTCCCCTTGCATTCCAGCATTATGAAGGTTTTTATCCCCAAAGAGTGCCCCTTGATCTTTACACGTTTTACGTAGTCTAAAGACTTTAGGATCGCTTATGTATATATATATCTGTGCCAATGAGATTCCTAGTGCAAAATAATTATTCGACTCTTTCTCTTTTTCCCACTTCCCTTGAACTTTTCAACTATCTTCAAGTATGTAATTACAGAAAAAAAAATCAGAATCATTTTGAACCTATAGTTTAATATAAAACTGAAGTAAACTTTCATAAATCCAAAATGGAAACCTAATATGGAGGATGAATTTGAAGAAAATGTGATTATGCTTTGTAGAAGTATACTGAGTCACTGATAATAAATCTAAAGTTGTATATGTTGTACCACATTGAAGCAGTTTGATTAAAATTAAAATTTATATACATGGGTCAGGCTTTGCCAAACAGATTTAAAAGGAAAAAACAATTTTTCGGTCGTCGTAAGTCACACCAAGGTTACAAGTAGAAAACATCCTTTCCAAAATGGTTTCATCTAATTAATAATTATTGAAGAAAGACTCACTACGTCTTGTAAAGGAAAGGATATATATATATATGACATTTTTTTAACATTCAAAAGGAGCAAATTATATTTGGACCACAATTGGTGGTCAGTATCAAAGGCCTTCGAGAAATCCAAATAAAGAACAATCATCCTCTGCAATCCTTTTTGAAGATCTGTATTGTCTATTTGAGTAAAAATTGTTAAGTTGGTAATAATTGAACGGTTTCAAACACTGGTATAATTTTAGCATGTATTTTTTGATTAATGTGAATTTTTTAAAATGACTTTCATTTAGCTAGGAATTGAAGAAGTAGTTGAGGGAAGATAAATAATTAATTACAGAAGAGATAGGGATCATTAAACTTTGTTGAAATGCTAAAAGCAAAATTTCCCGAACAATCAAATAAGAATTGAATTTTTTTTATATTATGAATATAAAGTTGAACCATGACTTCTGTTCAATTCGTAAAATCGATGGAGGCAAGAGTCAGGGGTCAAGATGAGATCTTGAAGGCGTCTTCGAAGGAATCTACAGCATCTTGGATCTATCGATAACAATAATTAGAAGAACGTCTACTGACTCTGCTGTTGACATCTTCTTATAATGCCCATACTTCTTCCTATAACTACACCTACTGATTCAACATTCAATTTACTCGAGTGCTACCTGCGCTTCGCACTATTCACAAACAAAATCTATATATATAGTCAGATTGCCCCATGTTCCAATTTAATTCATTCGAATTTCATGCTAAAATTATCACTGTGATCATTATTTAATTGTTTTATCATAATAAGAAATAATGCGATTAGATGGATTGATATGCTGTGGAAATTATGTTTAGTAAAATCAATATAAATAGCACAATTGTAAGAAATATAAACATCAAATTATATTAAAACATTCTCGCGATTCTTATCAATTTGTTACATTAAAATGTCCTAAGCTATCGAATTTTTAGAATTAGGGTAATTATCCGATCTTGCACGTGTCATGTTCTTTTGACGTACGCATCGATTTTGATATAGTATGACGACTCTAACAAATTACATAATTTTTGGAAATACATTCACTCTCAGCTTTTTACGTCCAGGTGTAATTAAAAGATTAAAATGCTATTCATACCTTTATATCAAATATTCATGTACGATTTTTGATGTGCACAAATTTTTAAAAAATTGCCTTGAAAAGAATTTTATTATTTATGAAAATTAATTGAATTCTTTGGAAGAATTTTATAAAAATCTAATTTTTTTTCTAATAAAATTTTGTCTAATAAATATTCTAACTAATAATTTTTATGGGATATTCATGCGCTCCTATATATTTTCAATAAAGAATTAAATTCGATTTCATTATATAAAATTATTTTTCATTACAGACAAGTATAATATTTACAGCTAAAAATTAGAATTCATTTTTACAAATAATTATACAAACGAACAAGTTTTTTTTCGAACAAGAAAAAAGTGAATTATAAACGAATATTTCCTTATATATATGAAGAATTTATTAATTATCATAAAATGTGCCTATGCATTAGGAGAATAAAAGATTAAAGATAATTGGAAAATTATGACGCGACTCGTAAATACAGATTCGACAAAAATGCAGACATTTTTTATAAACAAATAATGCGAAAACGTGCGTTTTTTTATTTTTTAAAAAAATATCGTCTTGTACATTGAAAACTTTTTTAAAACCACTTTATTTATTATTAAATAAATATAATAATACAAAAAATTTGGTAATAATAAAACAAAACAGTTTTTACGTTTCAAAAGTTCAGCTGTTCTTATAAGAAAACTAAACACAGTAAAAATTAATGTAAATAAATAAAAATTAATTGTTGTGATTAATAGGGATTGTACATAAAAAATCACGTAACGCGAACTTACTAAATCACAAAGAAAACAATTGACAGATAAGAAATTTATCGTCAAAATGATACTATATGTGAAATAATTTTTAAAGTCAGCAGTTTCTTTTAAAATTTTAAAATGAATGGTTGTGAAAATAATTCTATATAAACTAAGTTATTTAATAACGACGCGTGAGTGACAATCGGAGGACATCGATACATACCACGTTTTGAAATTGGTAAGAAATAATAATGTTTCTTTATAAACAAATCGTTTACAAAAATTGATCATTACTACCTAGAGTAATATATTATTCTTGATTAATTATTCCATCCTGAAAGTCCTAAATATAAATATTATAAAGTATAAACCCAAAGTAAATGCTTTTTGATGAGGAAAAAGCGAATGTAGTTCATAGTCCTCAAGATATGGGTCTTCATTTGGAATGGCTTTTACCTAATTTACTAATCACCACCAAAAAATATTTTTTAAAAACCACAAAATCGATACCGAATTGTTGAACAACATCATGCAGAAGATAAGAAACTTAATTAAATGGATGTATGTATGATGTTCTCTTTGAGAAAGTTACGGATTAAAGTAATTATATCGTTTGTTATCAAACTATATATCTTGATAACCCTTCTAACTATTAAACTAGACTATCATTACTTATCTCTGTAACATCATTTTCATCTTCGATATCCAGACATGAACAACTTTATCAAAGGTAATAACATATTTCGAGAAACTTCTACATAATTTTTTAAAGTTTTGATTTCTGTCTGCTTCCTCATAAACATAAAACTCGAAACATTATTTTCTGCATTCAAAAAAATTACAAGAATTATCCATAGAGATTATTAGATAGAGTTTCCAAACTTTAAAGCTAGAATATATACTTTTTAAAAATTAAAAACACCACATGGATTCTTTAATAGAAAATATAGTGATATTAAACTTAAACAAACTATCATAAGTTTCTTATAAAAATTTACGATTTATCCTAAAATTAATAAAAATAACAATCTTTTAAAAACTGTTGTTTTTATTATTGACTCACCAATATATTTTTATTCAAACAATGAGTAATTCAGGGTTGTCACGCAACCAGAAAACCTGAAAAATCTGTAAATGTCAGGGAATTTTATAAACCTTAAAAAAACCTGGAAAATTCAGGAAATTTTAATCGAAATCCTGGAAAATTGCTGTCTAAAGTTATTGTGTTTATTCTCAAAATCTAATTTTATCTCAATATTTCAAACCTTATTCAATTTTAGAAGAGTTGCATTTCCAATTTTCATAAATAGATAAACTTCAAAAGATTTTAATTTTAAATTTTGTAAAATTTCAATTTTAAATGAATTTAATTAGAAATTTTAAAAAACCTAAATTTTAAAAAAATTTTATTAACTAAAATTCTTCTTAAATTAGTCAAATATTTTTAATTCATT